CATCAATGGACTATTATCTTATGTATAGAAATAGCCCTGCATCAAGCAATCCTACAAGCAGAAAGTGTCAGCTAGTTAGAAATGGCAAGAAATGCAGCTCCTGTGATGGTACCTCATCTCCTTAAATACGAGCAAAGATTTCCCAAAGCACCTCTGGAAATCAGTGGGCTTACTGTGAAGCTGCATTATGACCATGTGAGGTTGTATTGATTTTGTTTCGAACAATGATGGCAGTGCAGCCCATATCTTTCCGAAGCTTTCACTTCAGACTTCATCTCTTGCTATTTTTCCCCCTGCTCGTATCAGTTCTAATAATTTCACTAGTAGGTGCAATTCGCTACTCTTTCCTTACYTCACTAGTGCCAGGTGGCCATCATTCCTTCATAGTAATTTTTTTCTAGGCAGTCGGCTTCCTGATAGCTAGAGTTTTTTTCCCATTAGGTGGCTGTTGCTTCCCAATGATTGAGCTGCTGCTTCTTGTTTGCCATTTTATTTTCACAGCTCTCAGCTTGTTGCTTCAGTTGACAGGTCAGTAGACTCCCTGACAACATCAAGTGTCTCCTTGTGCTACCTCTCTTCCCCTTCTGCTTCTGCTTTTTGCTGTACATGGCTTTTTGGTTCTTCATCAAGATTATTTTTTGGAATAAAAAACAGCATTTCCTTGCTGATTTTATTTGAGTTCTTGCTGAACTCTAATTTTATTTCCCATTATACTGTTGGCTGCAAACTCTAGGATTTTATTTAGGACAATTGCACTCTTTTGAAATTTTGTACTGCATATTTATTGCATCTAATAAGGCATCAGCAATTCTAGTTGGCCATAGTGATTAACCTCTGTATGTTTCGTTCATGCAAAAGTTTTGTGCATTTTTAAAACTTTTGTTTCTATGCATGTCTCTGAATCGTTTTTGTTTGTGATGCTAACATAGACTTACATTTGAGACTTGACTTTACCATCTACTCCAGAAAGACAATATAGGTAACACAAGTATGCTTCCTGATAAGGAACCCAAATATGCTTTTAATTAGAAGATATGGATTTTAATTAGGGTGGAGGGTGACTTAGAGACACTGGACAACAAGGTATTTATTTTTCAAATTCTGATTTTCAGAAGTCATTAGATGTGATTTGGTGGACACAAGTGTCAAGGTGTTTTTCAAAGTCAGACTTTAAAGAGGGAAGAAATGTTCAAATTTGTCGTATTTGATTGGTTTGGAACAAATTTAAGAGCAGAGTATTTCACAATAGTACATTACTCTGGCATACATGCAATTCTCTCAGATTTTTTTTTGTGTCTATATCATATGGTTCCCCTTATGTCAAGGGCATTGAGATTGAAAACCCTGCCCACCCCTGTTTTTGAKAAGGCATGAAACTGTTACTGTTTCCTAAATGCCTTTAACGTTTTTTTTCAAAGGATGACGTAATGAAAATTGTTAATTTGGTAAATAATTGTTGCATTTATGTTAATTGACTATGTTTTATGAGATGAATTGGCTTTACAAACAGAAGCACAAGAGACAGTGATTTCAGTAGTCAAGCTTGTGATATACTGATACTTTAAAAAAGCTTGATTTGAATTTTATTAATCCTATACATGCATTTCATTATGAGACTACTGTTTATAGTAATGATATGCTGGTAAGGGCTTATACTAAATAATTATGGAAAAAAAACAGAGCTACAAAGTCATCTGCAGTAGCTGATAGATATGGAAGTCAGCCTCTGTCATCCCTTAGTTTYATTATCACCATGTGTATAACTAAATGGTTTAAAACCAAAATCATGTGACATGAAAGGTCCACAGCCAGTGCAACTTTGGCAATCTGGAGGGCAAAAGACATCTTTGACTAAGCCTCAGTTTTGAATCAGCCACTGAGACAAAGGGAATGCTGCGACTTGTGCTAGAAGCCAGAGTRGTGCCCTTATGTACAGGGTGGTTCTGTTCTTGTCCTCTCTTCTGCTTCACRCTGCCCTGTGCTTCTCTAGGGTTCTTTAACCCTGGAGAAAAGTAAATTGTGTGATAAATGGTACTGAGTCTAGTGGGAGTCCTGTGTCCCTCAGGGGTCAGTACTGGGCCCAGTACTGCACCTGGGAAGCAATAACCCGAGGCATTAGTACAGATTAGGGGTTGACCTGCTGGAAAGCAACTTTGTGGAGAGAGATTTGAGAGTTCTGTTTGACAACAAGTTAACTATGAGGCAGCAGTGTGCCCTTGTGGTCAAGGTGGCCAATGGGATCCTAGCCTGCATCAGGAAGAGTGTTGTCACTCTTCCTGGGTTGTGTTAAGGGTCGGGATCTTGCCCCTCCATTCAGCTCTGGCGAGGCTGCACCTGGAGTATTGTGTGCAGTGCTGGGTTCCCCACAATAAGAGGGACGTGGAACTTCTTGAGAGGATCCCGTGTAGAATGACAAAGATGATGAAGGAACAGGATCATCTATCTTGTGAGGAAAGGCTAAGTGAGCTGGGCCTGTCTAGCCTGGAGAAGAGAAGGCTGAGAGGGAATTTGATCAATATGTACAAATACCCGAGGGGAGGATGTAAAGAGAATGGGGCCAAAGTCATCTTGGTGGTGAACAGCAACAGAGCAAGAGGTAATGGGTGCACATTGAAACAGGGGAAGTTCCATCTCCAGGTGAGGAAGAACTTCACTGTGMGGGTAACAGAGCCCTGGCACAGGCTGCCCAGGGAGGCTGCGGAGTCTCCTTCTCTGGAGGTCTTCAAACCCGCCTGGATGCCGCCCTGTGCCAAGTGCTTTGGGTGTCCCTGCTGGAGCAGGGGGGTTGGACTAGATGATCTCTAGGGGTCCCTTCCAACCTCAACCATTCTGTGATTTTGTAAATTCTCAGCTACCCTTTCGTGCTGTTCTAGAGCTTTCCCAGGACACAGCAGCTGCCAGAGCTGTCTGCATTCATCTGTGTGGGAGGTGTGTGAGGGGACTTGTGCAGTAACTGTGTTGAAATAATTACTGTATTTGACTTGACTAATAATCAAATGGTATTTCTTGCCAAAAAAGAAATATTCTGGACAGGGTAAAGAAGAGGGTTTTGCTCATTAAGCTCTATAGTCAATAACGCCGTCAGGATGAAAATGTAAAATCTTTTGATGAAAAGAAGCATTTACTTTTAAAAGGTGTAGGAAACACTATTTATGAAATTGATATTATTATGTTTTTTTCATTTAAAGTATAAACTCAGAAAATCAAAGTCTTTGGGGAATAAAATGTTAAGTAATTCTGCAGTCTCTTTTTTTTTAATGCTGCAGTTTTCTTGGGTTGCCATGGTAAAGTACATTCTGTGTAATTGCCAAGCTGCTTTACAGTGATGAAAATAAAATAAAGAAGTTGTCACATGTCGTGACCCAGGCTCATATTTCGAGTAGAGATTTATTGCCCACAGACCAGGAATAACAAAGATATCTAGARCCTGCAGGATAAGGAATTTAATGTTCTTGAAGTGATGTAGAAACATATGATAATAAATGTGAAGTCCTGGGTCTACATGTTATAAAGGAGGACTAGAAGCCCTCCCCCAAGCCCACTCCTGCTGAACTAAAATAAAATTCTATATCATTCCTGCTACTCTGAATTCTCACAATTACCCAGTTTAGAGATGGGGCAATTAATTCAGTTCATGTTTTGACCACTTGTTCTAAGGTTCTCTGTGCATATGCATCATCTTTATTCCTTTGTTAATATTGGRTTCTGTTAAATGCCACTCTCTAAATGCCTTATGTGTCTTTGGCTATTGTAGGCATTGTGGAGTTGGACCTATTGGACCTATGAGTGCTTTTTCTTTTTAGAGGAGCTCCTCCTACAAGACCATTTTATTTTTTTGTTATAACTTGAGCATTCCTATTGCTGTCTTTGCTCTTGGTAGACCTCCTTTGGTCAACTTAAATATGGCAGTGAAGTTGCTTCCTTCCCTGCGAGTCATCTTGGAGCTGGCTTATRCGCAAGCTGAGCTCAAATTGCCACTGTATATTAAACTCAGTTCTGAGTTCTGGGTAATAATGAGTTTTAAAGTTAATGTAGAGGCAATTGTAAACGAGAGTTTACAGAACAGTTTCTTCAGTTGGAATGACAAACCCTTAACTGAAGAATATTATTTATTCCATGGTTGAAGCTTGAGGGTACAAAATCCCCCTGAAACAGTGCTAGAGACTTAAGACCTGGGCAGCTGGATCCAGGGTAGTACCATGGTACTCAGGGTACCATGTAGGGTACTGTCTTTTGAGGGTGAACACTAGGCTGAACTGCTCCCCACACCTTACTAAGGTTTTATCCAAGAAAGTTAGCAGAACTGGTCCAAAACAGGAGCATGCAGATAGCTAACAGTAAAGTTGGAGGATGATCACTGCTCTGTTTCCAAGTATGCTCTTAGGTGGCAGCRTGTTTGTGCTCTATATCTTCTCCCATTTCCCCAAAGTGCTGACCCAGGCTGACTGYACAAAATGTGCCTGTGTGTAGGAAGCAGGATGGTTTCTCATTGCTTGGTACATGGGGTTAGTTGCTTTCCTTTTCCCTACACATTTAACTCCAGACAATTAGAATCTAATGTCTCCACACAGGTATTTTTCACTGGGTTCCTTAACCAGTTGTTCTGACTCCTACTTTGTTCTGCAAATTGTGTTTTAAGGCTATAAAATTTCATCTCCCTAGATTATGAGGAGGACTTGTTGCTCGTGCATGCTGCACACTTTTAAMTTCTAGCTTGCTATTAATTTTTGCCTTGGAGGCCGTATATTTCCTTAAAATGAAAGTAGCGTCCAGTTTGTAGAATGCTGCTAAATTCCTCAAAATTTCTCTTCATTCAGAAAACCACAATATAGATTAAAATTAAGTATGTTATAGCTTCATGGGAACCATAATTTTCTTCCATTTTTTTGAGAGGAGAGAACTGTGAAAAGTGAGTGGCTGTATTTTGCATATTTACTAGCCTTTGAGGTATTTTTGCCTTCTCCATAGGTCTTTGCTTTTCTTGAGTGAATGGGCTGTCAGATGGAGCAGCAGAATACAGAAAAGCAATGTCTTCCCATTCCTGTGAAGGAACAGCAAAAGGACAACTGTAAGCTTCTTCAGCACATAAGGTGAAATTCAGAGTTCTGCCGTGATAGCACAGATTTCATTTTTAATATTCAGGACACTCAGCTATCAAAAAGGGGAGAATCTGATTTCTACTTTTCCTTGAAATCTCATAATTAAGAGAACTTTTCTAGTTATTATTAATGRCTGTGTCCATATTCTTTACTAAGACCTTTACTAAGACTGTTTCATTTTTTTTAGATGTAGAAATTRGAAAAAATATGTAGGAATTATGAAAGTCTGCCTCTGAAGGTTGTAAATGCCCCACCATTCAATCAGGAAAATCACAAGAATTTGGAATTGTTCTTATCAATAWTATTTTATGCATCCTATTAAAAAGAACATGCAAGTTCTCTGAGGCAAGAGTGGGTTTTTTTTTGTTGTTGTTGTCTGTATAATGGCACATTGGGCTCCTACTAAATGCTTGCAATAAAAATAATAATCTATAATTGCCATGTAAACTACCCTTAAATAGGAGCATAGAAATTACTATTTTAAAATATAAATATTTTTATAAAATATTTTAAAATATTTTTATAAAATATTTTATAAAATAAAAATATTTTAAAACGGAAGATGAACACTTCTATGAGTCCGTTGGGGAGGAAAAAAAAAAGGGTTTCAAATATATGCAATATAGGAATTTTAAACTACAAACTGAGTTTCTTTTCTCTCTGATTCTGTTCTTTCCTTTGATAAATACACTCCATTTAGCATTCCATCTTCTACTTCTCAAATGAACTGTTGCTACTCAGAAATGCAAGAGGAAATATGAGACACTTTTGCCTCCTGTCAACTCTTACCTCTTCCTCAGCACACAAGCAAACAACTATTTTTCTATTCCACTGTTTCTAAAAATATTTTGTTCCTCTTTTGTAACCTGCTGAAGCAGTATTTTTTTTTTTTCAGCTTGTAGAAAGCATTGAAAATAGTGAAGGAAAGTGGATTTCCAGTTGGCAATCACACTAATAAGTTAAGGATATCTTTCTATAGGACTTCAGTGTATCAGATCTGCTCTGTTAGACAACAGCACTTCAAGACATATACAAAATCAATGTGTGTTTATCTCCCATAAATTTCTGTTACTGCCACTTTTGACAACATGAGTCTAGAACAGAAATACAGATCCTCAGTGTTTTGGGCTGCTGCTAATATCAAATTAATATTTAGTCTTGAGCATTTTACCGTGTTTAGATATTTGTAGCTCCTTCTATACACTGAGCAGGAGACTATTTCTTAACAAGTCATCTCCATGAGTTGTCCTAAAGATTAATTACTGAAAGTGCAGTTCCTGGAACATATAAAATTCCYTGTAAGTATCCATTATTAAATGTTATATCCCCTCAGGTACTTATTCGCATTAGTTTCTCTTACCTAAGTAGCCCCAGTGACATCTGTTCCTATTAATTATTTTTACCATTTGCCATTCCTCTGAAACACAAGCTAAATGACTTTGGCGATGGGAAAGCAAATTCACTACAGCTGCTTTCTTCTGTATTTAAAGTATGTGCAATGTTGTCTTTTTTTCTTTTTTTTTCCTTTTTCTTTTTCTTTTTTCCCCTCAGTTTCCCCTCCTTTTTTTTTTCCCCTCCCCCTCAATACTCCTGTATTCCTTAAGAGAAGTGCTTGAGAAATAAAATCYGGCCTAATAGCAGAAAAACAAAGTAGAAGAGAATGAGGAAGCATCATACACTTTGCAACTTGCAAAAGTTTCATAGTTTTCATAAGTCTAAAAACAACTTCTGCATTTCTTTCTGCAGCTATTGAAAAAAAAAAGTATGTTTTAAAAAACATTTCAATTAKCTTCTTAATAGAATAGCATCAGTTAAAGAAAAGTTCAAATACTGTGTTTAAAATTCATATATTCCTCTCTACCTATTTTTTCTCCTGTCATTTACTAAGCCAATGTCCTATCTTTTGAAAAATTTGCAGACATGAAAGTCCTCTTTTCTGGAGCCTCCCTGTACGTAGAAGGTTCCATTTTTCTGAATTTCTAATTATCTTTTCTAGTGCATTTGCAATGCTGACTAAGTATAATTAAAGTTATCAAAAACTCCTCTATTTCCATCACCTTTCCACTAAACAAATACAATGACTCCCTCCATTAAGCAAATAGATTTTAACCGACTTCTTCAGTTTAATCTGTAAGAGCAAATAGGTAGAGCCACCTAATGTGATGCCCTAAATGAATTCTCCCCCARGAGGGAATATATTTTTCCATAACGCCACCTTCAAGTTAACTTGAGAAGATGAATAGCAAACACTGTCTGGATGATCTCAATTGCATGAAAGGTGCATGAGGCAGCAGTGATGTTTAACGCTGTGTCTCTTAAGTGTGCTTTCACCTTTAGAGAAGCTTGGAATGCCATTTCTTTTACAGCTGTGCACTCAGCTCCTGCTTTGGTGTGTAGAAGTGCCAGGCCTGTACTTTGAATGCAAAGCATTTCATAAATGGTTCTAGGAGGATTTTTGTATTGTTTTAAATTGGTGTAAGGCTAGCAAGTGTAAGTGCCCCAGTTCCCTTTTTTTCCCCACTCTCTAGGAATCTCCTCGCATTCCCTCGTTCCTTGTTGCATCCTCATGGACTTGAAGCATTCAGTCCTTCTTTGATCCATCACCATCTCCCACCTAGAGCTCTGGGCACATCCATGTGGTTCCCCATCTTTYGGCACTTTGCTCCCAGGACAGGCTCACAGATGAGGACATGTCTTTGCAGAGTCATTAAAGGCTGCCATCCAGGAACAGATCTCACTCTTTCACTTCTGCTGTGTTGGAAATAGAACCTACAGCAGCATTGGTCTAGCCAGAAAACTCTCTCCGTGTTAATCCAGTTACACTCTAGATAACCAGCAGGAATGGATAACAGCTTCTGCCCCACTCTTTGGCCCTTAATAGGATCAAGCAATGGAGGCAACTTTTCTTTCCCTGGTTCAGCTTGATCTTAAAATCAGCCTAGTGGCCGCAGTCTGCTGTACAATTAATCCTAGCAAATTTGTCTTTACTGACACGAGCTGGGACCCACAGAAACAGCCTCAGATCCCAGTGCTGCAGCTGGACCAGGTTTACTGCTGATTTTGCTATATTCCTTTCTTAATATCTTAATTTTGTTTGCTTTATGATGTAGCATTTATAGAATCAGTGTACCTTGATATTACTGTAGGAGTTTTGTCCCTCTTTGATTTAAAATAAAGATAAGTCATCATGGAGCTGGTTAATTACTTAGGATATTCAAGCTAGTTCAAGGGGACCTTTGTTCCTGCTGAGATTGAATCTTTCTAGACTGCTTTTTCCAAAGCGCGCTTAATACCTTTCTCATCTTAAAAAGTGCTTAGCAGTATTAGAAACGAATTAAGGCTGAATTCATCATAATGCTTGAGCATGTTCCTTAGCTGAGGGACACGGGTAGTTCTCCTGACCTCATGTACTTATTTGTAGGCATAAATTTAAGTACCTTGCTGAATCAGGTACCTATTATGAAGATGGTAAATAGAAGAAAAATTCATTTGCTCTAAATGAAAGAATATACAACACACATTTGGATATTAGAAAAATTATACAGTTCTCTTCCACTTTGCTGAAAAAAGTTAGCATATTACACTTGACAAGTGCCAAAGTAATATTAAAGACTTATTGCTTTCAAGCTTAAATCCTACCTTTGACTTATTTGAGCTCATAGCTTAGGAGTTGTAATAGATTGTAAAGTGCTCTTATCTCACCTCCGATATGTCCTTGGTAAGGACAAATATACGAGGGAAATATAAACTTTTTTTTTTAAGAACTCTTATTCTGGGATTCTTTAAATAAGACTCTTGTATATTGGCTTTTTAAAATATTCTGTACTTGGGTATCATCTTGTTATGGGCCAGATATACCAAAATGCTGAGCATTTGGAGCTGCCAAAGCTAGTTGAAATTATGGGTACACCAGGGAGAACAACCTCCATATTTTTGAATAAACCATTATATATATGTATCAGTCATATATATATATATATATATGACTATGCAGTTAATGCTCAAGATTTGATATCCTACAGCAGAAATAAACACGTTCTCCTCCCGACCACCAGCTAAAAAATAAAACCTGAGGGGAAAAAAAATCCTCCCGAAAAGATGACTTCAGTAGTTTTCCCAAAACTCCTTCTGCTGCATAACACTTTCCTTCTCTTTTCACATACCAGAGTATCCACACTGTGACAAGGGCAGACATCATGTGGCTTCCAGCAGTGTGGAATACAGTGAAGATGGATGGTAGCAACTCCTAAGGCCAGGAAGCACTGGACTTGGAGAAGAACAGGTGTGGTGTCTCATGTACCACATGCGAAGATGTCTGGGTCAAGATGACGCTAACTGTAGGTGGGTAAGATGGAAAAACCTCACTGTTTCTCGTACTTTTTGGAAATGTATGCTTTATTGAAAAAGCTAAAGAGGAAAGACAGGGTGACAGCACTGAACTATACTATATTTCCTATACTATACTACATTCCTATACTATACTATATTTCCTATAGTATTAGCAGGAGAGAAAAGATTTATGACTGTAAGGCTTCAGCTTGCATCCCTAATAACTTTATCCTCATGAAATAAGAGCTTGGTCTCTGAACATCTCCCTCTTGGGGCAGAAATGACTTGTACTAGGAGTTTTAGTCAACAGTCTGATAGCCCTGAAAAGCTGATACACTTAACAGTTGATATTAACAGGAAGATGCAGGCAGACTACACATTATTACTTATCAGGCTGCAAACCCCTAGAAATCAAGGAGAACTCTCAGGTGGCTGATGCTGGACCATGGTGGATGTTGGTGGTCTGATCATAGTTGAACTATTACTAACTCTACGAAATGCTGATGTCATGGTGTACATGGGGCAGGTAATCTCTTTTGGAAAACATTTTTTTTTATTTGTTTGTTTCTGGATATGCTGTAAGGCATACCTTGTGGCAACAGATAAAAAGGTATTTTTGCTACTAAAAGATTGTTCTTTTGCCTGGCTTTTAAGAAAGATTGGGTTTGTTGCCAGTATCTTGATATACAGCATTCCCCAGCCTTGGACTCCATTCATGAATGCACTTGCTGAGCTCAGTAAATTAAACATAGGATAAACAAAGCCAGTAATGCTCATTGTTAGATTATGAATGAATCCTGGTCGTGTAAGATAGATGGTCCCTTTCCTAAATTTCCAGAAATGCATGAGTCAGTGGAAAAATAGGATCTTCCTAAGTCTATCCTAATATATCTAAATAAATGTTTCATTATACTAAGTTCTTATTCATCATTCTGAAGATGATGTTTATTGTGGCTTGTGAAAGGTTAATGTGAAACAGATTCTTCATATCAAAAGCAAAAAATATGACTTAGTAGATATGTTGCTTTTTAGACAACAGTTTGTGCACACATAATTAAACATTTATTCAACCGTGGGCTTGATTTATGGCAGGCCGACTCAGGAATATACAATCAAGTTTCAGTCTTGGCTGTTTAATCAATCGATGGAAAAGTAACTTGCTGTAATTTAATAATACTGAAAGCATCAAAGATTTTCAGGGTGTTGTTATATATCTTGGGATGCATGATTATAAAGTATGTGAGCTGACCCTCCATATTTCTTGCTGCTGCTGTAGGTCTAAGCTGTCTTTAAGGCTTGCTTTTTTTTTTTTTTTCTTGCTTTTTTCCCCTCCTCTCTCCATAGCATGTCTAAAAGCCTAATTTTTCTCTCTTTTATAGTTCAGAGATTTAAAACTTTCAGACTGAAAGTGCTTTACATCACGAAAACTGAAGTTGCTTTACTGCTTGTCCCTCCTGACATTCTCATCACTATATTTTCTCCTTTCTCAGGCAAAATATGGCTGCTAATGTTATCCTCCTGCTCTATCASTGCTGTTCTTTCTTGGAAGTTCTATATTTACTGAGCATTAGGACTTCTGTTACCTCGTTTTTCTACAATTGTTTGTAGCATTTTTAAGGGAAAAAAGTGCCATGGGTAAAAGCATAACTATTCACTATTTCTTAAGTGATTTGTAAACATTAACTTAAACTCTTTGTGCAAGCATTCTGTGTACTGTATGGTTATGATTAATGAAGAAACAGTCAAAAAGAAGCTCAGAGCAGAAACTGGTGACACAAAACTCATTCTCTTTTTTTTTTTTTAATCACCACAGCACAATCCTATTAAATCATTTTTGCAAAATATTACTGTGTACTTTTCAGCYGAGAAGTAATGTAAATGGTACAGAGAGAAAGGAATAGCTGAAGTAAATGCTTTACTTATTCTTGCTCTTAGGGAAAGGCACAGAGGAATAAACTTTCCACTGTGCAAACTTCTCAGAAAGAATTTGGTGTGGAGGTATTCCTTTTCCTTTTCAGATGTAGTTAAAAATATGAGAAAAGACGAGAAAAGTCTTCATGTTGACAGCTTTCTCAAATCGGATTGGCTGAGCGTACCTCACGTATGTTGCTGGCCAGGATACCCTGAAATATAGGTGGAAAATTATTTGTAGTAGCATCTATAGTAGGAGGTGGTGGAAGGAGAAAGGCAGGATCAGGATAATGCAATAACCTAATTTTCAATAACCTAACTTAAAAAACATTTTTAGGGAAAGACAATAAGATGAATGGGAATAAAATCTCCAAGATGACTGAGCAAAGATTAGCATTGTCCTGCAACTATTTGCTTTGGGAATACAGAGATATAGGAACTATAGTAGTGTAGCCAACTGTGTATGTAAAGCAAATTGTGGTAAAGGATAAAAATAGCATAAATATAAAAAAGAGTGCAAGAATCTAATCTTACTTTATAAGGTCTTTTTTTAACTAAATTGAGTCAGCTATTAATAATTCAGAGACCTACTGAGAGATTCAACCCATAGATGTGATTTACTCTAGATGTGCACAGAAAGCAATGTTTTTAAAGGCCAAGCCAAAGTTTTAGACCTGGGTTGTTCTGTTGAAACCAAAAAGCTCTGTGTGCTTAAGTGATCTTTAACTGGAAGTGGGGAGGGTATAGGCATGTGCTGGGATTTTATATGATATGGGATTCAGGGTGCAGCCTGAATCATCTCGGAAAGCAGAAATTATTGCAGTCTCTGTCAAACTGACTCATGTGTTTGAGCCTCTTCACTGATTGTCACTTCAGATCTTTTAAAAGAATTACTACCTTTTGGGGGTAGTAATGGGTGGTAGTGGGTGGGAGGAAAAAAAAAAAGAAAAGCCTCTGCTCCTGCCTGTATCATAATGCATGTAACATGGGACATGCTAATGGGACATGTAACGTGGGACATGCTATTGCAACCCCGTTGAGTAGTACAACTCTGAATAGAAATAATGTTTACCAAGAGCAGGGCTTGGCTGTGCCACCAGGCCCGCCTAAGTGCCGAGGTAAAGGACAGCTCTTCCCCTCAGTGAAGGGAGAAGGACTTCCTAGGACCATGAAGTTCGTTTCAGTGCTTAGCTCGTTCAGTCAAAACACCTTTTGAAATAAATGGGAATTTTGTCTGCGACGGTGCTTGATAAGCAGTTGGGTCATCACTCTTACACATCTACACACACCAGGTACCTTGGTACTCGTTCAGCAGCCCTATCTCAGATCGATTAGAAATGCAGAAGTGATCTTGGAAAAATTAAAAACATCTGGGCCTGCCTCAGTCTTTAGAAGCACTCTGAGATAAAGGCACTGTTAAATAGTGAGGGTGCTAAAAGCTTCCAAACAGTATTAAAGTTAATATGCTCCCATTCCTTTGGCAAACCACTTGGATAGGATTACAGGGAGAGGCTGACTTTGCTTTAATTGAGACAAAGCAGAAGGCAGGGTTCCTCTGATGTTACTTTAATTACAGCAGAAGGAAAAATAGCAATAGCATAAAGTACTTGAGCAGTAATTTCAGCAGGTGCACCAGCAGTAATAAGAAATCTCATTCTTGGTTATCATTGTCAACAGGGGGGAAATTTTTCCTTCAGCCCTTCGCAGGCTGAATCACCAGATTATCGCAAATCAGTCCCTAAGTGCTATTTTGATAGCGTGAATTTCAGTGACCAGCAATTTTCTGACACACTCTCTATTTGTTCACTTTAAAATGGTTCTTTTCAGGAGATAATATTACAGATGAACTTCCTAGGTCCTCCTGGTGCCATGACAGCCAWATTAACTGTGGGGAGCAATATCTCCCTGGAGTGCCCAGTGCAGTGATATTCAAACACTAAGTGTCATCATGAAAGCTACAGTAGGTGCTATTGTTTTTATTGTGCATAGTGTTTTTTATTTGCTTGCAAGTTATTTTGTTAGTTTTTTTTCTTTAAGATGCTAAAGCACATATCCCCGATGAAAGGGACACAGAATGGCCACCAGATCTGATCCCTGCCTTAATGATGGCATATTTCACATCCGTAGTGTTGTTAAAAGAAATAGTTAATAACAGTTAAAAGAAAGATGATATTTATTTAGATGATATTAGATTTAGATTATTAGATTTAGATGAAAAGAAAGGTGATATTTATTTAACTAATGGTTAAAAGAAAGATGATATTTTCAGGAGGAAAAGAAAAGTTTTGCTATCCTCCAAAGTATCCTAGTAAAACAAATGGGGTTAAAACACCACATCAGACATAATTTATGCTTCTGCATAACATGCCTTATGTCAGAGTTGTCTGAAAGACATTTGAAGAAGCCCTGTAAAAAGGTTAATGGCTTCATTTTTTAAAAAAGGGTTTTAATAGAGTGGAGAATAACCGAGACATAATAAAAATATTGTGTAAAAATTATTTATAATTATCTTAAAGTTATTTATGATGTGTGTACAAAAAGCTGCAATTTTTGTTCAGTGGCACTTGTAGTCTGCAAATAAATATTATATACAGGGGCTGAAATGTGCAGTCCATTTCACAAGAGCTCACTAACAAAGAGAACCCTGAGATGGAACATCTGTTACTTCTCTGGAAGCCAAAAAGATAAAAGATTTTTGCTGAGCCATGATGGCTGAAATTACTAAAWGACTTTTCTATTCATTTATTTAAGTAGAGTGAAAACTGACCTTTAAATGTTGAGAAAGGCCTCAAATGAACACAATTTAGTAATATAGTTGTTTTCAAATAGGATTTGTTGTTTTTATGGCCCTAGTGTGTTTAAAATTTATGAATTTTTTAAAATTTCTTCTACAAATTTATTCCATTTTATCTGTCTAAAGTAGTTTAATCCTTTATTTGACTTAGAACACTTGTTTTTTTTTTAAAGCCTATTCTCCCCCCACCCTTCTGAAAAAGCTATATCACAAAKGCATTATAAAATAAAGTGGAGGTTAATAATAGGATGATGTATATAAGGTTAGAGCAATCAGAACACAGTGATTTTAAAGTGATCTTTTCATACTGATTTTAAAGACAGATTATTTAACACACTAGTTCAACCTGATTAGATCTATTAAAACTTTACATAAAATCATATGCACAACAACTTAATCCATTGAATTAACAACATRATTAAATCTGGTTGAAATGGCTGGGGATACATTTGCTTTATATTCTAAAATGAGTTTTCATGAAAGTCCTACATGAGAATGAAAAGTTAAGTTAATGGCTCTTTTAAATACTCTAGTGAACCAGTTTTAAAACCTAGTGCTTACATTGCATTCACGCCTGCAAAGCACACCTTGCATTTTCATGCAATATTCTCCTGTGTCATGTTGTATAAGCCGCTGGACTTAACTTTAAAGTGTTTTGTGTGACTTGGGTGCACAAATTTGGCAACTGAAGAAGCATATTTCCCAATGACACAAGAATTTTGGGCATAAATGGCTTTGTTTTATAATGTATATTAATATGAKGTAATATGCTGACTGAGAAGATGTCCAGGAATGGAGTGGAATTGTGTGCAAGGAGAGGCTTGGAGACTGAGTTCAGGTAAATGCTTACAAATTTAGATGTTTCTACTCRCTGACTACTTACAGACCTTCTGTTCTGTCAAAAAAAGTTAATAGCTGTTGAGCTTTTATGTGCAATTGGAACTACTGTCCTTGAAAATAATCCACAAAACTGTCCATTAAAATTGGACAATTCTGAAGCAAATAAGGAAAGAGAAAGCGTTACCTAACTTTTCTAATCTTTATTTTCTAAAACAGGATTTCTTCAGGAATGTGAGTATTACAGAGAATTAAAACTTTATTTTGTTATTCTATATTTTTTTCCTGCAGAACACACATCTTCTGGAAACAATCTGTACATGTCTCCAGGATGATTTCGCAGCTTCTCTTGATACTGAGACCTTCTCATTACCTCCATTCCCACTCAGTCATTTCTCCTGTTTCTGTATAACAGCAAGGGAACTCACAGTGGGAGTATTTTTTTTTTCTTCCTGTTTAACTGTGCTAGGCAAGTTTCTCTACTGTCTCTACTGGAGAGAGCATGGTGACCAGGGTGCCATCATGGGAGAGGTGGATCACAATGCTTTTGTTGCACAAATACTCCCATATTGTGCAAAAGACAAAGGYCTTCATATCACCTAAAAACAAATTCCAGGGTGATTTTTAAAGAAGTTGTAAGCAACTATGCTCAGGAGAAAACTCAAGGGTACAATTACCAGGTGGCTGGTTTGGATCTTGCAGATTTCTCTGCCTTTCTGCATACCCTGGGTGCAGAGGTGTTTAACGTGGGGTCCAGGTTCCACTTCAGTTATGTGTAAGATGCAGCCTCAACTGTCCACCTACATAGTGCAGCTTGGATGTCATGACTCTGCATGCATTAACCACAGCAGKGAGTAAAGTTTGGACCGTGTTGGGCCTATTTTTATCCTGGACTCCATAGATGGGGTGATGGTTGAACATGCAGAGAGGGAGACTTGACTCTTCAGTGGAGTAGTCGTCTTTTCCTAAAAAAAGTACACTAAATTAACTCAAATTCTTGAGGCTGTCAATGCTGTTCTCTTTCCTGCTAGGAGCTGACTGAGTGAAGAATTGTGAAACAGTCATACCCCTTTAAATAAATCCCCATTGACAAAGCTCTAATGATGAAATAGGCAATGCTGTCTAAAATATGTAACCCAATTCTCACCAATTTCATGCTGTCTAAAGGGGAATTTTCTGCCTCCAAGCAGATCTGTGAAATCAGACAGTGCAATTAGAGTTACAGACTACATGCAGTGGTTCATTGAAGGCAAGATATGGCTTGGACAATACAGTGGTTTTTAATCTGAAAGGACTATGAGCTCCTCCCCAAAGGGTCTGAGAAATGGAATTAGAAGTGCTGTGCAAGTAGGTTTAAATTCACTATGAATCTCTGCTGAGAGATTTGATTTGCAAATCAAAAAAAAAAGTGATCCCTGTGTTTTTACAGGTATCAGCAGAAGAACTAACAGTCCAATCTGTGAGTGTGAAACAGGGAAATTTTGAAGTGAGCCGAAGACCGGCCTGAAGACATAGAAATGCAGAGGAAGACTACCAACTGACTGCCTTCATCAGCCTATCTACAAATAACCTGCACACTGCCAAGATTCAATGGCATTGTAACTGCAGCATAGTTAATTCCTTGAAGCCTTTCTTGTTTTAAATCTAAACAAAATTCTTTAGCTGTTAGGAAGAAAATGCAGAATTTTTTTCAAGTGTGTGCATTTTTTAGGGAAAGCCTGTGCACATACTAGTCTCCAGGTGGATTGCTTTCATGCTGCAGTTTATTGTCAAAAGCCAAAGTCAGTTTTAGTTGGCAGCAGCACTGGCCTGGGGGTGCCCCTTCAGCCTAAGGAACAGGGCTGATGGATGCAGCAGGACACACTCGGGCATTAGCAGCTCCCTCTCCTGCCTACACGTGAGAATTACTTACTAAGTTTGGAGTAAGAAAGAGTACTGTGCTTATAAAACCAGCGAATCATGTTTTAAACATACTATTTCTGTTGCTTAATTATGGCTGAGGAATTGGAGGTGAGTGGATAGTTGTTACAAGCTAATCATCCCATGAATGCATGAGATGATTACCCATGCATSCCATGTTACAAGCTAATGCATCCCATATGAATAACATCCCACAGTCACAGCAAACTGTCTATTTCTTTATAGCTGGTCTTCCTATCACACAGYGTTTTAAAAAAGAGAGGTCTGGAAGAAAAGTCTGCCTTTAAACTGGGGAGTGCGTCCCCTCTTATGAAAGGAGGGGCAGGGAGGATTTCTGAGCATTGAGAATGGATCTTTGAGCAGATGACCAYATGTGGGAAATCACAGATGTTAAACCCAAATTTGACACAACAACAACAGCATCTAACCCAGCCAGTGAACATTACTCAATGAAGTAAATATTTCACCTTTCACCTTCCACCTTTGTATAGTGTCTTCCTCTCTACTAAAAGGCTCTTCCACTCTAAATTTCCTCGTTTCAATGACACACAACGCAACCCTATGTTCAGGTAYGTTTGAACCTCTGGTTTCTACTTTTAGCCTTACATACCAAAGTTCCTAATTGAATCAGTGAGATAATTTTCTTTCCTTATTATGGTCTTTCATTAACCTGCCTCATTTCTCTGAGATTTATTACCTATTCTTAGATTGCCAATGGTTGGAATATATTTGCCGTTGGATCTTGAAAGGTCTGGGTATAGTAAGAAAGATATGATTTCAATCACATTAATTCTTAAATGACTTAGCTAACCTTTTACATTCATTTTTTATTTTCTTGATMTCTTATGATTTAGAGATGAACTATGCATATCTGCTTAATCAAAGCTAGGCCTAATCAATCAAAATTTTCTCTTGTCTACAATGTATCTATCAAAAATAAAATAAAAAAAACCACCTCATCATGTTTCTCTCCCTGTGATGGAAAAAGTAAATATTTCGGGGACTAGCATTTAAAAAAAATCCAGTCCTCTTTTGTTTCAGGTATCCAAATACAATAGTTTTGTTCACACATTTATTGAACTCCTATTTAGAAGCGTGGTGAACCCTTTTAACCCATCTTGGTTTTTAGAGGTGRAGGCTACTATAGAGGACAGTTGCACTAATGGTTCAGAAACCCTACTGAATTGACAGCCTTTTTTATCTAAAACCTGGTACATGCATAGCTGTTTCTATACCAGCATTAGCATTTAGTTTCAATAGCTGTAAAATACCTTCTCTTCTTTCATAGTTCTAGAATAGCTCTTCCCAATTCCTTGTTTACTTCCCTCCAGTTTATTTTCCTAGGCTAAACAATATAGCTACTTTTCAGTTTTACTTGGTAGAAAATCTCTTCATTTCTTGGATTGCCCTATGATTCCTCTCTGGAAATTCTTGCAGTTTGTCGAGAGGGTTGAAAAGCCTCGTGGTCATGTTCACCTAATTTCCAAGGCTTTGATAGTTCCCAAGCTGCTTTTCAATATTGATGATACAGTGCTTCTCTGAGGCAATAGATGAAACTGGTTGCATCATGTGAGGTGGAATTCAGGCTATTGTGAAAAATTAGGTGCGAGCTACCTGAACAAAAGAAAAAAAAAAAAAAAAAAAAAAAAAAAAAACCAAACCTGTTAGGTCCTACTAGAATTTCAGAATTGAGATTTTGGAGTTGTGTTCTTTGCAACATAATTTAAAGCTTCTCAAGTTTTGTGCAAGCAGTGTGGGCCAGGGAATGATTGCCATATTACACTGGGACAAAACCAAACCTTTTAAAGTGTAAACAAATTGTGAGAAACAATGTGAGTATAGGTAGAACCTCCGTTTCAGAGTCCCTTCTGGACACGCATTCCTCCTTCCCACATATTTGGTTTAAGAACTGATCCTTGTTATTCCTGACGGGGTCACACAAGCATCCTATATAAAGATATTAAAGCTTGCTTTCTCCAGCAAAATATTCCTCATACCTCTTAGGATCTCATTTGCTTTTCATTGTCGCTTTACATCAGTGAGTCAGAATGGTTGGTCGTCTCTCTTTATGATTAATGAATCCTGAATCTAGCAACACTATACGAGGAATTATTTGACATAAGTGGGGGACACTGCAGATATAAGAATCTGCCACCATGGAGCACGCTCTAGGCTCCTCATCTAAAGCATACRGCAGCATACCTACCTTGTGCATGTGCTCCTTCAACTTGAGCTCTGTAGCCATGGCCACATTCATACTGCAGTGGTAGTGGTCAGTATTTCTTGATCTTAATAGATCTTATCCTTCCATGAATACACTGACGGATCTCTTCTTTCTATTTCCTATMATTTTGTATGTATAGATTTAACTTATTCCATATTCCTCTTGCCTTTGATGTTCTTGCCTTCTGAGAAGACTGTAGTCATTCACAAGGTCTTAACTACTCAAGGCATAAATGCTGCATTTTAAACTGTTACCCTTGAAGTCTTTGAACCACCTCCAACTCAACATTAATTTTCCTGGGTTACTCGCCTTGAGTTAATTAGTTCTCTGTACTGTCTGCCCACATCTTTGATTTGTTTTATAGCTTTCCTTACTTGCACAGATAAAAGATTTCTTCTTTTTGTATGTGCATGAAGTGAAATAATGGTCTTCATTATTTTGCAAGATTATTAATTCAGGAAGTTGAAAATCATATTGTCATTCTCTATAGAGAAACCTATTATTATATCACCGTTTAGTACTGATTAAATATACATTGTCCTTGTATAAATATATTATGCTGATAGTACTTCCATGATCTTATAATACTTCAGGATCATTCCAAAACTAATACATATAGAAAACGCCATTTTTTTAATTGAAAATGTGCTAATTTTCTTCTATGTAGATCAGCAGGTATAGGAGTGGAGCACAGGCCAGACTTTGGATTCCTGCTATAAGCATCAGATAATTTTTGCAGATTTGTCTTTTGAGACAGCCAGGATGGTATGCAATGTTGAATCATTTTAACTAAGCAGCATGAGTACTGTCAGATCTAAAACTGTGGTTATCTGAAGTTACCTCCTTCCATGCACTCACTCTGTTATCTTAAAAGTGTCTATTTTACTATGCAACTTTTGTAGCTCATATAGCCACAGTCTATACAGTTAATAGGATCTGAGCTAGAATAAAGCTTCCTTCATTTTTCTGTATAAMTAAAAGCAGTGTAGTGATACTGTCACTCAAACATAGCTTCATACCAACACAGGACAGGTATGTGGGTGGAATAATATGATAGTCTCTGTCTGAAGCCATCTCTGTCTGTAAAAGCTATCCAAAGGATTTATCCCAAAATCASTCTCTGAATTGGGAAGTCTTGGAAAGAAATTTGGATGTATGGAAGTCAAGAGAATTGGTTTTGATGGGATTGGGATTTTAACACTTAAACTTGGTTTGCAGGATGACTAAAATATAGCAATACATTAGAACTCCAAAAGATATAGTAATAAAATGCAAGTGGATGCATGTGATTAGTATGTAAAAAATAGTCTGTGCATTAATATGACAGTTGGAATAGAAAACAAAATAATCTCAGGAAAATTGAAAGCTAACAGATACTAACATAGGAGTGATATCCAGGATCAACTTGTATTTATTTTGCCATTTTCAATGAAAGAATTTTTTTTGAATTGAGTGGAATTACATGGTTTTACATATATGGTCCACTTTTTGATATGTATGTTTTCAGCTCTTCTCATGTATTAATGAGTTACAAAATTCTTCAATGCAAGAATATTTTTCAGTTTCTTTTAGGTGATGGAATACCAAAGAAATGCCTCTTCTATTTAAATAATATACACAGAATGAAAAAACAAAAAGAACACTTTGAAAAAWTCGTTTTTCCAAAGTATTTATGATGTAACAGAGAAGCAACGTGGGGCCTGTGACTTCTTCCTTAAGACAGAACTGCCTGGCMGAAAATACGGAATGTGAGAAGAAAATGATCCTAAAGGAGGGCAGCAGTTGGTAAGAGAGGCACATTTAAAAAAAATATACAGTCTTTTGTGTAGTTCAATCCTTTTTTCTTTTTTTTTAATGGTCTAGACAGAATCAAGAAAATGTKATGTTTACATCTGAATAAAAGACAGATTTGATGCTGTGCAGAACAAATGAATTTAATATCCTATATTTCCTTAATGTACTGGTGAGGGTCTGGATTAGGTAGCACAAAAACAGTTGTTCTCTGCAATGCAAAATAGTCCAGTGAAAGCGTGTGAAAGTTACAGGTGTGCAGAAAATTGCGTATCATGTAAATCTCTAATAGACTTGCAAAGACAGTGCACAAAGCATGCTTTGCAGAATTTATCCATTTTTGCATGTAAGCTGTTGGGGGTTTCTGTCAGACTGACACAATACAGTCTTTAGGCTCAGAGCAATAGAGAAGTCTTTATGCAAACAGATCAGCTGTTTCTTTAGATTCCAGCTACATTTTTTTTCCYGAAGTATGATTTGTAACCTTAACAACCATCCACACATTTCTGTAGAATTAGTCCTGCTCAGCAAATATGTATTTCAAAAAAAAAAAGAAAAAAAAMCCAACRCACACAAAGATTCAAGTATATGATATGAGGTTACTATTTGCCTATAATAAACTGGAAGCAAAAGAAAGGAATTCTGTGAATGGGGAAGACTGTGACCAGGTTCTGTGTTGGGCAGTGGAGTCTCAGCGAGACCTCAGAGCACAAAGCCAGGTA